TCTTGCACCTTTAAGCCGACTCTCTTCCGATTGGTTGCTTGTCATAAACAGAAGGTTTGAAAAGCAGGTGGGTGGGGCTTCTGAGTTTTTGGCTCACAGGGATTTCTTAACTCACGCTGACCTCAATGTTTGAAGCTTTAACCGTGCTTAATATGAGCAGTACAGGTGAGCTGAGGAGGAGCACTGACTCGTGTGGAAGTTTCCAGAATATAAAGTAGTTCATGGTTCACTGTGTAATGTTGCGTTACATCTCTTTTCCTCAGGGTCTGTATGATAATTATCTGTCCATGCGTGTGAGGGACCCAAACCTCCAGAGCGCGTGCGAGGCGCTGGATTGGCTGGCCTTCTCAGACAAGCTGAGCCACGTGATTCTGCACGGGCAGAACTTCTCTCTGATGAAATACCTGCCCTTCCTTTCCATCACATTTCACTTCCTGTTTGCCCACACGAACGTGCCCCGCATCAGCTATCCCCACAGCCAGCACGAGGTACGACTCTCCTACACACACCTGTGCAGCAGTGCGAAGAAAAAGTGATAAAAGGAGTAGAACACGTTTTTTAAAAAGAAATTTTTTAAGGCATCATTGCTGATCAGTCACTATTGTGTCCCGTCCAGGCCTCCTCCCGGCTCCTCAGCTGCAAGAACGCTCTGTCCACCATGTTGGCCGACACCCCAGCAAGCATCAGAGCGAGGATCAGTCAGCTCAGCCTGACCCTCGATATCCTCACCTTGCTTCTCGACATCATCTGTCCCAAACTACGGCCCGTATGTAAAAGCTTACATTGTAACCTTGGTACATGCCTGTATGTTCAGGCCAAACTCCAAAACTGTGCAAAATGTGCAGAATGCAATGATGATGATGCCTTTTTTTTAATGAATCTATGGTTTTATGATGCAGATCTTATAAACCTAAATTTTGCACATCAAACATTAAATTTGACAAAAAGCATTGTAAATGTAGGACCTGAAATGCCAGGTTTTAGCCTCTGTGTCTGCTTAGATAGATGTGGGTGGGTCATGATATCAAAGTTTCTTATTTTTCTTTCAGGTGAATCCACAGCTGTTCAGCAGCAGAGAGAAGGAGCAGATGCGTGAGCTGATCGACACCATGCTGGCATACAATCTCTCTTACAGGCAGGACCGCACTCCAGAGGGACAGTACACCTACGTGCTGGAGCCGTGAGTACACGCACACATACGCACACGTACACACACCTGGCTGGACTCCACTGTACACTGGACTCATGCAGAGCTGATGTGTGTTTGAGGGGTGTTGAAGGTCACTGCTCTTGTCCACACTGTGGTTCTCTGCATGGAGGCTTAAGAGATTAATCCCCTTAACACCTGGTGGGCGTGTGTGTGTGTGTGTGATGGTCGTGGTTGAAGCAGGGTAGCAAGCAGTAAATCCTCACCGTTAAATGCAGGTGAATGAAGGAGAGGATGGAAGGAGGGGCGGGTTTAAGTTAGATAGATTAGTAGGCAGTAAGTGACGAGGTGGCCTTTTGAAAGGTCGAGGAATGAAAGGATAAAAGAAGAAAAAGAGCATTTTTAACTTGAGAGACTTTTACTTAAAAGTCACCCTCATTTTTGTGATTCTGAGGATGCCGGCGCCTGCCGCAGTTAGAATGGGATAACCAGCTTGTTACCTCAGCCATGCCGGCCCGTGTGGAGGAGCAGCGGGACGCCCAGGACGGCTCCTTTCTACAGGCTCGCTGTGACGAAGTGCTGGTCACCAACGACTGGGGCCTGCCTCTAGTGCTGGCTCTGCTGCTG